TCCTCTCCACTTCAAGCATGCTGGCTGGGGGGCTTCTGGGAGTTGAAGTCCACCCATCTTAACATGCAGACTGGGGGATTCTGGGACTTGAATTCAACCCATCTTAAAGCATTTCCGTGTGGGAGGGAAAACTTATGGGAGTGGAAGTCCTCCCCTCTGAAAGCATGGCTGGCTGGGGGATTCTGGGAGTTGAGTTCCACCCCTCTTAAAGCATGCTGGCTGGGGGATTCTGGGAGCTGAAGTCCCCACTCTTAAAGCGTGCCAGCTGGGGGATTCTGGGAGTGGAAGTCCACCCCTCTTAAAACATGTTGTATAGGGGATACTAGGAGTTGAAGTCCTCCCCTCTTACAGCATGCCGGCTGGAGGATTCTGGGAGTCAAAGTCCACCCATCTTACCATGCAGACTGGGGGATTCTGGGACCTGAATTCAACCCATCTTAAAGCATTTCCGTGTGGGAGGGAAAACTTATGGGAGTGGAAGTCCTCCCCTCTTAAAGCGTGCCGGCTGGGGGATTCTGGGAGTTGAGTTCCACTCCTCTTAAAGTATGCTGGCTGGGGGGATTCTGCGAGTTGAAGTCCTCCCCTCTTAAAACAGGCCGGCTGGTGGATTCTGGGAACTGAAGTCCCCACTCTCTAGGCTCTATTTTGCATTTCGGTCGATCCAATCTGGATGAAATTCTGACTGGATATGTCCCAGTCGACCCGTCGTTCTTCCGGAACTCGCCATATTTCCGTCATCGGCGCTTGCCTCAAGTGGATTCGGCCTTCCCCCAAGAGAGTACAGGAAATCGTCGACTCCTTTAGTGACGCTTCAGAGTTACGATGGCACTTTTTAAAAAAAGCGTTTTCCCCCCTTAACAACCGTTGCTGCATCCCCAGTGATCAAAATTCAGACGCTTGGCCTCCGGCTCCTCTTTATGACGGTCGCAACGTCCCGGGGTCACGCGGTTTCCCGTTTTGCGACCATCTGAGAAAGGACATCACGGGGGGAAGCCGGAATCACTTCGCAACCAGGGTGGGGTGGGGGCTAATTGAACCACTGCAGCACTTAGTGTAACGATGGCGGTGAGAAAGGTCGTAACCTGAGGCAAAGCCCGCTTGACGGCCGTCTCGCTTAGCGAGGGGAATTTTGGGGCTTGGGGGAGGTCCTAAGGCGAGGGCTGCCGGCGAGCCATCATCACCAACTGAGTTTAATGGTAGCCAGGCTCCACCTGTGGGGATGCAGCCACCGACCCCGCTGGTTGCTCCCAGAGACTGAGTGGCTTCTGCCGGCTGGCTTGGCAAAGGGGATCTTCGGCAGCTACCTTTCGCTCCAAGGCGGTCGGCCTCTCCGGGTGCAGCACCTGGCGCAAGGCTCAAGCGGCAGGAAGGGGAGGGGTACTGGGAGCAGCAACTGGGTGAGCCTGGTGGCTCCAACAATGGAGGACCCCCCCAAAGCCATACACGTCTCCCCCAAGTCTTCCTTCCTCTCTTTGCCCTGTGTCCGTCCTTTCTTTCCTTCCTTCCTTCCTGTCCTGTGTCCTTCTTTCCTTTCTTTCTCTGACTTGTGTCCTTCCTTCCTCTGTCTTTCTTTCTTTCTTTCTTTCTTTCTTTCTTTCTTTCTTTCTTTCTTTCTTTCCTCCTTTCTTCCTTCCTTCCTGTCCTGTGTCCTTCCTTCCTTTCCTTTCTTTCTCTGGCTTGTGTCCTTCCTTCCTTCCTTCCTCTGTCCTTTCTTTCTTTCTTTCTTTCTTTTTTTCTTTCCTCCTTCCTTCGTCCTGTATCTGTCCTTCCTTTCCTCCTTCCTTCCTCTGTCCTGTGTCCTCCCACCCTCCTTCCTTTCCTTTACTTCTTGTGTCCTTCCTTCCTTTCTTCGTTCCTTTCCTGTTCTCCCTCCCTCCATTTCTTCCTGTGTCCTTCCTTTCTTCCTTGCTGTCCTGTGTCCGTCCTCCCTCCCTCCTTCCTTTCTTCTTTCCTTCCTTCCAAAATAACAGAGTTGGAAGGGACCCCGGAGGTCATCCATTCCAGCCCACTACTCAAGCGGGAGAGAGTCGTAGAACGACAGCGTTGGAAGGGACTTTGGAGGTCATCCAGTCCAACGCCCTGCTCGAGCAGGAGACCTGAGACCACTTCAGACCCCTCTCAAGCCCCTGGGGGCCACTGGATCCCTCGCCCACCACAGACCTGGGCCCTCACCCCAAAACCTTACAGACCCCCCCTTCCCGGCACGGAAACCTCCGGGGGGGATGCGAGAAAAAAACAGACATCCTTCAGGAAGCGGCTGAAAATGGTTTATTGACTGGCAAAGAAGAGAAAGGCCGGGCGAGGCTGGAGACTGGGGTGCAGTGTGGGGTGCCCCCATGGCGCCCCGATTTGGGATCCTCGAAGGGAGGCGTCAATCAGCGCTTGGCGAGGTCACCGCCTGCAATGAAACGACAAGAAACCGGGAGGTGGGGTTCTGGGGGGGGCAGCCTGGAAGGCAGGACTCCTTCAAGGGTGGAAGATTTGGGGGTGAATGGATGGGGTCTCTTCTGACGGGTGCCTCCTTGCAGAGCTCCCTTGGGGTTGGGGAGCTGAGTAGGGGGCTGGACTGGCCGGGCCTGGAGCAGGGGTCTCCAAAGTTGGCTCCTGTAAGACTTGTGGACTTCCACTCCCAGAATCCCCCAGCCGGCAAGCTTTAAGAGGGGAGCACTTCCATTCCCAGAATCCCCCAGCCAGCAAGCTTTAAGAGGGGAGGACTTCAACACCCAGAATTCCTCATTCTGCATGCTTTAAGAGGGGTGGACTTCAACTCCCAGAATTCCTCATTCCACATGCCTTAAGAGGGGTGGACTTCCATTCCCAGAATCCCCCAGCCGGCATGCTTTAAGAGGGGAGGACTTCCACTCCCAGAATCCCCCAGCCGGCCTGCTTTAAGAGGGGAGGACTTCCACTCCCAGAATCCCCCAGCTGGCCTGCTTTAAGAGGGGTGGCCCTCAACTCCCAGAATCCCCCAGTAATACCAGAAATCAGAATTGTTTCTTTAAATAAAATTTGCTGAAATTCCTTATGTTCACTAATGAGAGGAAGCGATTGGGACCATTTAGCCATTTCCCTGTTTCTCTACTCTTCTGCAGACAATAGCTGTTTCCTTCCTAATCAGCTTTTGTTCCCTTATCGACGTACACAAATAAAGTATCAGTGCTTGCTGAAATATTGTACGATGTGGTTCCTTCCCTGCCTTAGGGCAGGCCCTATCTTTGCTCAGATCTGAATAAATGTATAACTTAAGAGAGTATGCCTCTGTTCAGATCTGAATAGATGCGTAACTTAAGAGAGTCTGTCTCTTTGCTCTGATCTGAAGAAACACGTAACTTAAGAGAGCATGTCTCTGCTCAGATCTGAATAAACGCGTAACTTAAGAGAGTATGTCTCTCTGCTCAGATCTGAATAAACGCGTAACTTAAGAGAGTATACCTCTCTGCTCAGATCTGAGAAAATGTGTAACTTAAGAGAATCTGTCTTTTTGCTCAGATCTGAATAAACGTGTAACTTAAGAGAGTATGTCTCTGCTCAGATCTGAAAAAATGTGTAACTTAAGAGAGTATGTCTCTCTGCTCA